TTGGTTGTTGGCTCCGTAACGGAGCCAACAGTATATAGAATTCTTTTTGACATATATCAACCATTTTGTTTGTGTTTTTGGTCCAGAAGAGCTATATTATACTACTACTTTCTCTACTTTAGGGCGAGCAACTTTGCTTGTGCTTTTGTATTGTCACAAACTTGTTGTCTAAGAGCTTTTAGTTTTTCACCTGCCTAAAAGTGCCAAATTCAGACTAATTTTGACCAAGTGATATATATCTATCCTACACCTATTTCCCTAGAATATGCAATGATAGATTTCCATCTGTTAAGAAATATATATCTCATTTAGAAGATAAATATATATCAATTATATCATTTACTTTTATTTACATTAATTAATAAGTTGCAATGTGCATGTAAACTATGTAAAGTAAAGAAATTAAGGCAGATTAAATACTTGCCTCAGAGGACATATCACCAACCAAAGGGGCAACAGCTGCAGCACCTCCTAATCTGCTCATGCTCAAAACCTGGTCACGATAACATAAAAATAATCACAATTAATTCCCACTATCATTTATTTCTTAATCAATAACCCAACTCCACCAACTTGTGATCAGATAAAAGAATCATTTTCAATACTTTATATATGGATGCTACAAATTTTATATATATCATAAAACCAATTAGAGAGAGAGAGAGAGAGAGTACTTTGACTTGGAGCTGGAGGAATTTAACATAGTCGATGATCTCATCCAGCATTGAGGCTTTGTCAGTCTGTCAAATTTCAATAAACAAATAAATATTAATCACATCTTTCCATAAGATTACTAGCTCTAACCTTTTTCAGTTGTGTTCAATATTAAATTGAAAATAACTTCCTATAAAATATGCTTATAAATTATGGAAATGCTACGGTCCCGTTACGAAACCATTCCGTCGGGATTTGTAACCGTTGAATTATCATGTAACCGTCAAGGATAGCTGATCTAACGGTTACAAACCCCGACGGAATGGTTCCGTAACGGAACCGTAGTAGCATCTCCCTATAAATTATATTAAGATATACATGGTGTTTGCTGCAACTAAATTTAACCCACTTCAAAGTTCAAGCTAAAGGCCAATGGATATATGGGACTTTATAATTTTTCTTTTCAAGTATTTACTTTTAAAATGTTGTTCAAATTAAGTTGTTGAATATATTTAAAAAAAATAAAAAAATTATCAAGCATAGCCTCTCTTACCAAACTTGTATTTAATAACTAATAATTTATAGTCATTAGCAAATTCAAACTCTTTATGACTTATATTTTGCTGAATAAGATTCCCCCTATTTATATCCTTTAATTTCCAGCTATGCTTCCATCACCTAATACATTCTCTCGATCACCAAAACGGGCACATACCCACATGTGAGATACTGTAATTTCTATGCCTCCCTAATACCACGTGATACTGCAATTTTATATAATCAAATCAAACAATTCAAAGCTTCTTGAGATAAAACTAATCAATGAAGAATCCCCCCTAACTGTTCCCAGATTCATTAGCAGAGATCACAGGGAAAGTTTCATTTGTCAAATTGATTAATTAAGTGCCCATCTGTGGAATCATCTTACCATTTGATGTTTAAAAAAACATTTGAGTACGAGTAGCTGGTTCGATTTCATTTTCAGTAAACCTACTGTTAGGTAGGTCACTAATGATTAGACAACCACGACTTGTTTAACAAGTATACATACCTTCGTATTAAGAAATAATATAAATAAAAGTATGACATTTAATAGTATAAATATGTATTTTTCTTAAAAATATATGACGAGTCGATTAGCCTAAAAGGTTAAACCGCCTTACAACAATTTGGACTCTGTTCGGATATTAACGGATTGAACCTCTATGTGAGATTTGACAAATCAAATATGCTTACGAGTTTGTTTGATAAATAGCTTATTTGAGTAATGTTTCTATCGAAATAGCTAGTACTAAAAAAGTAATGTAAGAGCGTTTTGAGAGAAGAATATTTGTAAAATAACACGACAACATATTTCCAACTGCTATTTACAGGCAAACTGCTAATACAGTCCACTATCAGCTATCCATTAATACAATCAGGTAGTATATGTTATTAGCTAATACAATCAGCTATTAGCTAATAGCCAAACAAAGCCTTTATATTTTTTATTTATTTATTTTTTTGTGCTCTTTAATTTTGATCAATTAAAATTCAACATTGGTTTTTAAACTTTTACTATATAAATGTTCCATTTTTGTCATTTTTTTGTTAATGCTAAGAAATAGTTAATGCAATATTAAGATGGATTATTATGAGTAATAATTAATTAAGTAATGTTGTATGATAATGGAGAAGTTGAATAATGACCTTATTGGCATTCGGTACGAGCTCCTGCAGTGACTTCATTCTCTCCGCAATCCTCTCTCTCCGTAACTGCCCATATTCCCAACAAAAATGTCAAAAAAATACTCAAAAAACGACATATTCTCGGGATATTCAAAAAGTAACAAATCACAAAAACGACAAATAAGCTACACTAAATTCAATTTCAATTCTGAAACGAAAAAAATTCAAAAACAATTCAAAAGGAAAATTCGAAACTGATTTGTAGTACTTACCCTTTCAGCTATGCTGTGAGGGTCAGTCGCTTGTCCTCTCCGAGCTCTCACCTTCTGCCGCGGCTGTCCGCCGGAGGCAGATGCTCCTCCGCCGCTCGTAGCTGGTTGGTTCATGGCCGGCGCCGCCGCTGCCTCGGCGGCACCAAAACTCTGGGCCTGGAATGTCATCTTCCACGTTAAATTACACCACCGAAAGTTAGGATTAAACATACAGGACTACACAAATTCAATATTTAAATGAGATTTGAGAATTAAATGGAATTTAACCTGAGGATGGTGAAACTGCTGAGGCGGATTTGCAGTTTGATCCATGGATCCGACGAAGCCATTGAATAGAGCTTTAACCGATGCATCATTTGCCTGAAACTATCACGCAGTAATTTAACAGCAATGAATTCCGTAATTTAATTCAAAAAAGAAAAGGAAAAACAAAAAATAAAAACGAAGACACCGACCGTGTTAATAGATTTGAACGAGTTAACGTCGATTTGGTCGCCGTTGGGCATGGAGAAGAGCGCGCCGTCGTCTCCACCGGCCGCGGCTAGACCACTCGAGAGAAGAAACTGCTGCTGTTGGAGCATCAACGCCTTGGCCGCACCGCCGCCGATCTGGTGCTGCCGCAGCCTGGACGCCAGCGCCGCCGCGGACCGGTCCTCCAGTTGCGGCGGCGCGTGGCCGTCATCCCAGGGGAAGGCGGCCGAGCAGGACACGGAGGAGAGCATCTGCTCGAGGAAATCGTCGTGGGAGGCGGCGGCCGGATCGAATTGGGGATTCTCCGGCTGCAATCCGGCGAGGGGTGAGATTTGGTGGTTGTTGAGCAGCGAGCTGATGCTGTTCCCGCCAGATAATTCTCTGCTAACAGGGTGCATGCTTTATAGGATGATGAATAGAAATTGGGGAGATTGGGAAGGAAAATGGAATAAAGTTTCAGTGAGAGATTGGAGAGTGAAGGTTGAAGAAAGAGGGAAAAGAAAGCAGCAGAATTATTTGGAATGTTTATTAGTGGTCTCTTCACAATATATATATAGGAAAATTGGTATTTGTACACGTACACATGTGTGTGTATTGTGTGTGTGTGTGTATACATAGTGTGTACAAGTAAAAACGTGGGGTTCTATAATTGAGGAATATTAGGATAGTGGGGCCGTAGATGAAAACGGGATAAGAGGTTGGGCCGTTGAAGAAATCACAATTAGGTGTAGTAATGGATGTTCATGTTACAATGGGAAAATATGAGTGTATTAGTTTCACCTTATTATAAATATATATATTAATTTTATTTTATTTTTTTCAAATTGTTCATTGATAATTTAACTTTTTTATACGAGGAAATCTTGTGTCATGAATATACGACACTTATGATATATTACTGTCGGCTGACAATATAAAGCATCGTTGGCTGACAATTTAAGGCATCGTTTGATGAATATGCAACAATACGATTATACGATTATAAGGTCTCTTCGCATAACCTTTTGCATTTTTTGATATGTAAGTTAAAATGCAAATACAATGTAATACACGTCTCGCACCCTGACCGGCTGGAAATCGTTTCGAGCTCGCCTTCCTCGCTGTTAGAACGCGGAACCATCACGTAACTCTCTCACCGGAAAGGTTTTTCGGTGAAGAGCCTCCAATGCTCAAGTCATATCTTGAGAAGAAGAATATGTATGTAAGTATGTAAAAATATCAGAGATCGTTCTAAAATCAGAGTTCTCGTCCCTATTTATAGGGACGAGTTACCTGTTCTCCACGCGCGACTTGGGCGAGTCAAGCTGATAGCCCTTCTGCTCGTCCGTACGATCGCGCGCCCCCACTATCTGGGTGTCAGAAACGCGTCATAGTATGTCAGGGAATGTCAGAAATCGTTATCGCCCCGGACCACTCATGATGCGCCGCGTGTCCCCTTTTCACGTGCTGAAGATTCTCCCGGAGTTTTGGTGTCTTGACAAGATCTGGCACTATTGCTGAACCGTACATAAAGTAGAGAGTGGTCGACTCCCCATTACATCTGCTCGAGCCTCAAACTCTTCGACCAGTACCCGATCCAGCGCGTAATCCTCCCAGGTAACTGAACCTGTACCTCCTCGACTCCTTGTCCTTGTCGCTCAGCTACCGTCTGGTCGAACTTAGCCCATCAACTCATTTTCATCTGGTTGACTCGGATAACCGGTCCAGTATACAGTATCCCATATCACAATGTGTGTTGAATTAATATGTGATAGTTATGGGTAGATATTCAATAATTGTACGGCTCATTCGAATAATTTTTTCCGGGTGACAAAATTTACTTGTCATCGAGCGATATGAAAAACTTAATATATTTCATAGTAGAGTGACAACATGTTATTTTAACATATTATGACTCAAACCTAGGGCTGCAAACGAGTAGAGCGGCTCGCGAGCGCTCGAGTTAAAGCTCGACTCGAGCTCGAGTTTGACCGAACTCGAGCCCATATTTTGCCTTGTCGAGCAGCTCGTCGAACGGCTCGAGATACACGTTAATTACTAAAATACCCCTAATTTATATATTAGCATATGTGTTTAATGGTAATTTTACCTAATTTTCGAGCCGAACTCGAGCATTTTGATTTCTAGTTGAGCTCGAGACGAGCTCGAGCTATTATAATTTCTTATCGAGTCGAGCTCGACGAGCTCGAGCTCGAGCAGCCAAAAAAAACTCAATCATGCTCGATAAAACCAATGCTCGACTCGGTCGGCTCGTCTGCAGCCCTACTCAAACCACAGTCCAACCTTCCCTTTGCACCCTAATCGCAAAATTTTCTCTCTCTAAGCAAAATTCTCAATTTTCTAGTTCCCTAATCGCAGAATCGGATGGGCCCCCTGCCGGGTAGGCACGTTGTTTCCCCCACGATGGTCGGCATTTAGTCAGCTCCGATCAGGTAGTACTCTTGGCAAGGTAGCGGTTGCCCAGGCCGCCTAGTCTTCTTTCTATGTTTGGATGCTTTGATGGTGGTAGTTGAGTGGTTGTTGGCGCGTGGGTGGTGCGCGGGGTCTGTGTCGGCTCAAAATTGTCAAAATTGTTAGTTGTATATCTCAAGAAAATGGCTTAAGAAATCAGAAGAAAAACGATAAAATAAATAAAGTCGAAGCACGTACGCTATGTTCTCCTTAAGACGAAATAGCCCGTATATTACCAACGGTTCACGGTTAACGCCTCCAATATACTAATTTTGATTTGTGTATAGCGGAAACTTAAATACACAAACTTTCAATGTACAATACTCAAGTTTTGAAACTCTCAATATAGAAACGAAAACAAAGCACAAAAGATGTTTAATGAATTTTGTGAAAATGATGCAAAGAGCTCTTAAAAATTTTATGTATGTAATCATTTCACTTCATGGGAGACTATAGGTGTTATGATACATCATCAGGGGGATTTAAGGCATCAAAAAACACTTTCCATGACATTCCCGACAGACAAAAATAAAGTAGGATTCTTTTCGACACGACCAAATGCGTCAGTGCCGCGTCTGCGACAACCTGTAGCGCCCTTCCAGAACTAGGCATCGCGCCGCGACAAGGCTTGACACGCAATTGTGCGCCAGAAACTCGTACACGCTCGCACGGACTCAAAATCAAGTTCCATTGTTTTCTACTCGTCCCCAACGAGCCATTCTACAGTTCTAGCATACATAATGCGTTAATATGGCTCATTTAGCTTGTCCAAGCATTTGTTAAAACATAATGCTTGTGAACTCTATAACATTTGAGTTACTTAAACTCAATTATTCCATATATAGTACTTAGAATTAATTTTGCATTCACCTTAAAATGGTTTTTAGAATTTTCAAAGTCTTCAACTTACGAAAAATGTAACCGTAAAATTAGTACAAAAACCAATTTTCTTACAAAATCAACATATATTGAGCTACCATCTGATTTATTATATTAGAAAGTTCATAATATTGGAATATACACCATTAAATAATTAAAAAAAAATTAAAAAAAATAATTTATAGGTAATTAAAATAGGTTGCTTTTATAACTTTAAAATAATTCACTACACTTTAGATTAAGTGTCGATTTATACTGAACTTCATCAAAGGACATCAGCACATATAGAAAAAAACCTATTTTTATAGGACGATCAATGCCATTCTTGCTAAGAGCAGTGGCATCTTTGTCCTTCAAAGAGCGGATTAGGCTTCCCCCTATAAACTGTCTCAGATGGACATTCAAAATCAATTTCGAGTAAATATCGTAAAGGCAGATGTGGCATTAATATTTGATAAAGGAAGTGACATACAACGTCTAATAAATAGAGAGGAACCTCTTGTAGCAAAGAAAGCATTCTTTTGGGTTTGAATAAAGTCAAAAACCTATAGGACAGAACTAAAAAACCCAGTCCATTTCTGACGACGAATCAACAAGCTGAAGTGCTTTTTTGTGTCTTCGCGCTAAACTAGTAGTCACGTGGAATTCTAATTTGCAAACTAGCGTGTCTTCTTCTTCGAGCAAAAAGCCCCTTTGACGTCTCTTCCTCAACATCAAACAATTCTCCAAAAGGGGAAACCTAGCCATCCCTGCCCCTCAGGCAAACGTCGAAAAAGCGATTCGTTTGAAGGGATTTTTGATGATATCGATGAGAACACCCAAACAGTGCTCCAAATATCCCGTCAACCCAGAAAAATAAGAAAATTTTAAATCCATCTCCCCGTACAAAAAGCTCACGCCCTTCTTTATCCCTAAAGATAGGATGTCCTAACCACCCAACTGCTATTCCATCTCCGTTATCCATTGAGCCTGCCCGTGCAGCTATATCAGGAGGTATGGAGCCAACGGTTTTGGTCGCATCCCTGTTTGTCATCTTAGCGAGGGAAAAGCGTGCAGAGACAGCCAGGAGGTTTGCCTATAAGCAGCTACCCTTCAAAGAGTGCGTAATAGCTCACTGATCTGCGCAGTTTCATAATGTTCCTCACCAACGATCCTAGGTTGAAGCATGGTTGAAGTTGAAGGCGTTCCGTCATTGTCGTAGGTCCTTCCCTTTCATTACATCGGTGTGGATTGCCGCGCGAAATAGCAATCGAGCCCCTTCGCTTCGTTTGTTTTCTTTCAGTCGAGACTCACAAGCCCTCTTCTCCTTTCAGTCGAGCATCTGAAAACCTTTCTTTTCTAGGCTTTCTAGCCCTCCACTAGAAAGAGATGCGTGAAAAAGAATACAGTTCAGACTCTGGGACGAATTTTCAACGTGCTTGGAGAACCCGTTGATAATTTAGGTCTTGTAGCTACGCGTACAACATTTTCTATTCATCGATCTGCGCCTGCCTTTATACAGTTAGATCTAAAAGAAAGATCGATTCTTTTGGATCCTTCCTTTCGTCAAACGGAAGAAATCGCAGGGACAGAATTTTCTCAACTCTAATCGATTGGGCGTATTGTGCCGGTTCTTTTGAGTAATATATCTTGAAATGCCCGCTGGTACCTTCTTAACACTCTTTCGGATATAACTAGTACATTCCAAAATCACTGTTACTCGCGCAGTGGACATAGTTTTCCTTGCCCCGGAAGCCCAGGAGTTGCATTCTTTAATCGCCCGACCGTCCTCGGAGGGGTTAGTCGCCTGCCCCGAGTGCCTTTGATCCTTGGAATTTCATTTTCTTTTGGTGTCTTCTTCCGCTACTGTCATGATTTAGAAGAAGCTGTTAGCAGTCCAGGTTTCCTATTGAGCAACTCAATAGAAAATAGAATTCGAGAATTGGATTTTCTAACCGAAATGGGTTTATTTTTGAACTGGGCCAATTTACATTATTCTCGTTGATCTTTTTTCAAGTGTCTCAGAAACTAACGGAACTAGCTCTGTTATACCTGCATGTGCATGCGGGAGTGACTGCGCCAGCTAACA